CTCCGCTTCTTTGTATTCTTGTTTTCTAATTTTTTATTTAATTTACCGTCTCTTCTAACTCATCTAATCTGCTTTGAAAGCCTTGCATTGTATGTTTCATTTCAGATTCTGTACTTTTCAAAGTTTATAGCTCTTTCTTGATGACCTCCCTGAAATCTTGAATATTTTTCTGTAGATCTGTGAGCATGATTATGATTTTTATTTTGAAATCTTTATCAAGAAAACCGGTGTTTTATTTCACTTATCCCTCTTTTTGGTGTTGGAGGGATTTTGATTTGAACCAGGTTCTTTTGCCTTTTCATTTCTAACGGTTACTATGGAATAATACCTTTTTATAGGTGGCACCCTCTAGTGCCCAGAGCTCTACTCTCTGGAGCTGCCCAACACTTGAAGCGATGGCAGGAGTTGCAGGCTAGCAGCTGCCAGTTCCTGCCAGGAGGAAAGAGCTTCCTGCTTCCTGGCTGCAGTGCTTGCCTCCACTGCAGGGCCAGTGAGTCAAGTGCGCAGGGAGGAGTCTCTGCATTATGCCCTTGTAGCTGCTGTAGGCCAGGCCACCGTCTGGCCTGGCGTGATGGTGGGGGCAGCAAGTTTGCGAACCCATGCCAGCCAGGAGGAAGGAGCAGCAGGCTGCATGTCATGGTTGGGAGCCTCAGTGCTGCATTGCCAGCCAGGTGGGATAAAACACCTGAAGCTCCCAAAAGTTCAACCCACTGGCCTGAGTGTGCTGGGATGGTTTTGTCCACCTGGCCTTTCTCCTTTTGTGAATTTCCTATTGTTATTGATCTCTAATTGTCTGTTGATCTCTAATGTAATAATAAAGCATACTTTGTATAATTTTGATCTTTAATTTACTGAAACTTGTTTTATGTCCTAATACATGCCTTAACCTCGAGAATGTCCATGTGCACTTGAGAAGAATGTATATCCTGCTACTGTAGGGTGGAGTGTACCATAGATGTCTGTTAAGTCTAGTTGGTTTATAGGGTTAAGTTTTCTGTTTGTTGATCTCTCTAGTTGTTATTAATTATTGAAGGTGGGATGTTGAAGCCTATGAATTTTATTATTGAAATGTCATTTCTCCCTCCACTACTGTTAGTTTCTGCTTCATGTATTGGGGGGCTCTGTTGTTAGGTACATATATGCATATAATAGTTATCTTTTTGATTGACTGAATCTTTTATCATTATCTTTGGCTCTAGTAACATTTGTCTTAATGTCTACTTTGATATTAATATATTCTCTCCAGTTCTCGTTTGGTTACTTGTCTGGATAGCACATCTTTTCCCATCCTTTCATTTCCAACTTCTTTGTGTCTTTGAATCTAAAGTTTGTCTGTTGTCAAGTGCATATAGTTGCACCATATTTTTTATCCATTCTGTGAGTCTCTGCCTTTTTATTTACCACTTAGTGATCCATTATCATTTAATGTAATTACTGATAAGGTATGGGTTTTGTCTGCCTTTTATTTGTAGTCTATATATCATGTCTTTGTTCTGCTCTTCCTCTACTACTGCCTTTATTGTGCTAAATATTTCCCATTTGCCATTTTAATTCTATTATTGTTTCCTTCCTATTTTTTGTATTGTTTTTTTTGTAATTGTTTAGAGATTACAATAAAACAATTTTGTTTGGTTTAATACCAACTCAACTTCAATAGTGCATAAAAATGTTGCTCCAAAATACACCCTTCTCTTCTCCCTCCTTTTTGCTCTTAAGATCTTATAAATCACACCCTCATTAATTTCATGCCCATCAACCCAGATTTATAATTATTACTCTATGCAGTTGTCTTTTAAAATAGAGGAGAAAAAAAGGGTTACAGACAAAAAATCACTTTTACTGTTTTATATTTACCTGTGTAGTTATCTTTACCAATGTTTATTATTTTTTTAATTTGGATTTGATTTACTGTCTAGTGTCCTTTCATTTTAGCCTAAGGGGCTCCCTTTAATACTTCTTATAGGACATGCCTCCTAGCAACAAATTATCTGTTTATTTTTTTTAACCTGAGAATACTTGAATGATCCTTAGTTTCTTCATTTTTTAAGGAGTTTTGCTAGCTATAGAATTTTGGTTGACTTTTTTCTGTTAGCACTTTGATATGTCTTCTCCCTGCCTCAGGTTTCCATGGTGTCTAATGAGAACAAAACTGTTAATCTTATCAGGGATCCCTTGTATGTGATGAGCCATTTCTATTTCTCTCTGCTTTCAAGATTCTCTTTGTCTTTTGTCAGTTTATAATGTGTCTAGGTATGGATCTCTTGAGTGTCTCCTACTTAAAATTTGTAGAGCTTCCTATATAAGTAGATTAGTATGTTTCCTAAGATTTTGGATGTTGTCAAACATTACATCTTCAGATATTATTTCTGCCCTTTTCGGTCTTTCATCTGGTGGTGTCCCCCAGGTCTCTGAGAGTGTTCACTTTTCATGATGATTCTTTGTTTCTATTCCCCATACTGGATAATTTCATTTGATACATGTTCAACTTCATTGATTCTTTCATCTGTTTCATCAGATCTGTTGAGCCCACTCACATGAATTTTTCATTCAGTTATATTTTTCAACTCTGGAATTTCTATTTTTTCTTAGAATTTCTATCTCTTCTTTTTGATGAGACATTGTTTTCATATTTTCCTTTAAATATTTAGGTATAGTTTCCTAGTTTTCTGAGTTTATTTAAAGTAACTGATTTAAAGTCATGAGTCTGGTGTCTTGGCTTCCATAGGGACAATTTCTGTTAACTGTCTTTTTTCCCCCCTGTGTGTAAGGCATACTCTCTTGTTTCTGTGTCTCATAATTTTTTGTTGAAAATTGGACATTTTAAGTAGTATAGTGTGACACTACTTAGATTCTCCTTCATCCCCCATGTTTGTTATTGTTCTTTGTTGTTGTTTTAGTGGTTGCTGTTTGTTTTTAGTTTTGTGAACTAATTCTAAAAAGTCTATATCCCTTGAGTTTATATTTCACATCTAGACATTGATTTCCTTAAATGCTTGGAGAGGTTAGTTTCCCAGTGTTTGTCAAGGGGCTGTGTGTATTTGGCACATGCTTTAGCATTCAGCTAAGTGGTTGATGACTCTGCCTTAGCCTTCACTTCCTGCTTGCTTAGGGCCTTGTCTGGTCTTTTCTGAGTATTGTTTAAATACTCAGCCTACACTTGTGCATGGGCTCCCAGTATCCCAGGAATATGTCAGCTTTTCAAAGACCCCTATGGACTTTTCATTCCTCTGCTTTTCTCTTTTTTTGTTGTTTAGCTTGTTGTTTGTCCCACTGTTATCTTTGTCACAGGCAGCTGTAGTGTTAAGCAATTTCTCTTGATTGTTTTAAGTGAACATCTCCAAGGGAGAAGTTGTTTGCACTGGGTGAACTGATTCAATTCAAAGACAAGCCATGCAGATGGAGTTTTACAGGGCATTGTCATACAGGTCAAATAATGGCAGTTTCTGGGAATCGACCTTTGAAAAACTCCAGCCCCATCTGATCCATCCGTTGGCTGCTTCACTCTGGTTTTCACTGTGATTGCAGGCTATTGGTTTTCAAGTGCACCAGTAAGCCAGGAAGGTAAGATGAATGTGGGAATAAAACATGTTAAAAGGCCACGATGTTCACTGTTCTTAGTGACATTCACCATTTTTCTTAAATGCTCCCAGATTTTTGTAGGACTTTATTTTCATATGTCTGTAAAAGTTGGGCTTTTTTTTTTAAACAATTGTATTCTCATTGCTTTTATGGAGGGAGGATTTTGGGATGTCTTCACTCCACCATTCCTACTGAAGCTTCTCAGAATTTAGAAGTTTAAACTGAGAGCAATGGGAAGTGATTGAACAGCTTTACACAAAGGAATAACCAAATTTGATCCACAAGTCAAAGCAAGTATGTTGCCTTATAGATGAAGCACTAAAGTCCTGAAAAATATGTGAATGTTTGTCTCCCCTCAAAAAAATTTTTGTAATTATCTTAAGAACCTGGTCTCCTTATACCTATCCAGTGTTCTTTTTTACTATACTGTTGTTTATAGTGGTTGGTTTAGTTAATTCCCAGCAATCCTAACAAAAGAACAAGAATAGGTTGTTAGGACAAATAAAGTGTTCATATGTGTAAAAGCACTAAACACTGGTACATAATTTTGTTTCATAATTCTCAGGTAGATAGATACTAGTCTTAAAGTTCTTGTTGAAATAGTTAATGTTTTGATTCCCAAAGGGCATTAAAAATCAGAACAGTGCCTTTCTTACCTTTCATATCAAGTAGGTCTTCTGTTTCCCCTCTCAAATCATTATACAAATAAATGATGTGTACAAGTAAATAGCAATGCTAGGAGAATGTGATAATTTGAAACATTAAGTTAATTTATGCCATCTACTGACTTAATATGGAGGTTATGAAAGAGAAGAACATATACCATTTCTTCATTGGTTCTCCTGTTATTTATTGTTACTTTATTGAGTCTCCTGTAACCATTACTGTATATTAATTACACTTTATCAAACCTTTTTTCTGGTTTAGCTAGAGTTTTCCCATTAAAATGCTATTTATTCTATTGCCGAGACCAGCTCCGCAAACCAGCTGAACCTGAGAGAAGTGGATGGGTGATTCAAGAAAAACAGAGATACACAAAAGACATAGAAACCAAAGTTGGGATCAGGAGCTTCACTGACCACTGGTGGCAGAAAAGGGATGTAGTTTCATTTCTGAGCACAGCTTATATACACAGGCTCACAATGATGTCGCTTCTGGGCTGATCTCATATCCGGTGTTGTCATTTCCAGTTCCAGTGACAACACTTCAGAGATCTCACATCCAGTGATCTCACATCCAGCCCTCCACGTTCTGTGAATTTCCCTATTGGTATAGCACAGGTTGGTGGTTCTAGACAAGGCTGCAAAATCCCAGCACATTCCATCTATAGTTCCATTTGTGACATTAAACTGCTTAGCATTTTAACAGTAGTTTTATTGAATTTATTGAATTTACTGAAATTACTTTTATTTTTCATCTAGGTTACTTACAACAGGAAAATCTCACTTCTACCTGCCAGGCTTTTATTTTGGAAAGTTCAAATTTAAAAGAATATGCAGAACACTGTACAGATGAAGGTTTTATCCCAGCTTGCTTACTGGTGAGTGATTTGTTCCTTAAGGAAAATACTTGATCATTGATAATGTCGCAATCTTAAAATCAGCTCATTAACAAAATTGACAGAAATTTTATAGTTTGTGTTCATGCATGACCAGAAAGACAAAAAAAAAATACCAGCTATTTTCACACATTTAAGCCAGTGCTGGTGAGTTATGACTTTGCCTCTGAGAATCAGTTTCAAAATGACACCCTCATTTCTAATTAGTTTCACTTCTGCTTTTCTTGGGGCTTACTTGTTTTCTCCTTGTTACTAGTCTGAATATTTATGTACCCACAAAATTCATGTGTTGAAATGAATGAATCTCCAGTGTTGGTATTTGGAGGTGAGGCCATTGGGAAGTAATTAGGTTTAGATTAGGTCATGAGGTTAAATTGGCTCATGATGTGATTAGTGCCCTTACAAGAAGTAGAAGAGAGAGATTTCTGCATGCGCATGCACCAACAGGCCATGTGAGCATGCAGCAAGAAGGGAGATGGTCCTTACCAGGAATCAAATTGGCCAGCACCTTGATCTTGGACTTCTCAACCTCCAGGATGATGAGAAATAAGTATCTATTATTTAAGCCACCTGGTCTGTAGTTTTTTATAGAAACCCAACCTTTCCTATATCTGGTTGCTTACTTCAGGCAAATATAAAACAGCTCTTTTGGTATCTTGTTGTCACCTCTTTAAATATTACTAGACTAACCAAACCTCGTTTGGTGTATGATGGATATATTCTGGAACTACATTATTTGAAATGGTATTTTGTCATTTATTTTAAACATGGCTCCTTAGAGTCATTTCATCTGTCACAAACACTGTAATTATCTATGGAGGGAACCTAAAAAAACCTACAAAACTGCTGGAGTTTAGCAAGGTCACAGGATGACAAAATATAAAAAAGCTCATCATAGCTCATCATATTTCTTTGTACTTAAACAATGAATCATTGGAAATTTAAATTTTTATATCATCTACAGTAGCACTAAACAAACAAAAATAAAATATTTAGGTAATAAATCTGACAAAATATGTATAGGATCTGTATGAAAGAAATCGAAGACTTAACTAAAAAGAGAGATACACTGTGTTCCTGGATGGAAAACTCAGATATTGTTAAGATGTCAATTCTCCTCATTTTGATCGAGATCCTTACAGTCAAAATCCCTTCAAACATTTTTATAGTTATAAATTTTATATGGAAAAGCAAAGAAACTAGAATACCCAAACAATTCTTAGGACAATTTGGAAAACTCATATTACTTGATTTTAAAGCTTTATAACAAGCTCTGTTAGTCAAGATTGAGGGGGTTTAGGGGAAGGTCAGGCACTTAGATCAGTAGAACAGGAGTAGTGCCCAAAGTAGATATAAACAAACCTGATTTTTGACAAATACGCAAAGGCAAGTCAATGAAGAAAGGCTGTCTTACCAACAAATGCTGACAGAACAGTTAAAGACATCTAGATATAAAAAAAGATCCTCTACACATTCCTCATCCAAAAATTAACCAAAATGGATAATAGAACAAAATGTAAAATGTATAAAATGACCTGCTTCTTATCCTTTCTTCACCAGTTACTGTGCAATCCAGATCTTAAATTAACTTGTATGTGGTGAAATGTTTCATGGTGGAAATTATTGGTAGTATTAAAGCTTTGGTAATGCATGATCTTTTTCTTTTCAGTCCTTATTTGGAAAAAACTTGACAACAATCTTGAATGAATATGTAGCTATGAAAGCAAAAGGTAAGAATTCAGGTTTAGGGATTTGTTTCTGTTAGTTTTACACTTGTATTATTATTTTAATTAGAAATAATTTTTAAGGTTTCATAAAAGCTATAAGAAAAGTTGTCTCCGTTATGATGAGATAAATTATACTGGGATAAAGCAAATTAAATGTTTGTGTTTATATTGAATAAGAAATTGTAAAAATCTGAATGTTAACAAGTTTAACAAAATTATATTTTTTAAAGGTATAAACCTATTAACTCTGGGCATCTACCCTGAAGAATAGCCACTGATATGTGTTTTAGAATTTTAAATTAATATTTTATAATCTTAAAACTCCTTGTAATCTAAATCTGTATATAAGAGCCAGTCAGAAAATTCTGGCTTATTATTTACAGAATATGAAATATTATTTGCCCAAATTAATATTTTGGCAGAAAGGTAGAATTGTTTATTTTATTCTGTAATACTGATTATTTCCATGGCTTTATAACACTAACAAAAAAATTAGCATAAAATTAACCTTTTAAAAAAGCTTATCATTTATTGAGTACTTGTCTTTATGCCACATTGTGCTAGGTGTTTTCATATGTTTTACCTCAGTCCTTAAAATAACTCAAGTTGAGAAGTTTTGAGTGTTTAAACATACTTTTAAGTATCAGAAAACACAATTAGAGAGGCCAGGGCACTTTTCCAAGGTCACAACACTAGAAACTAGAAAGTAATAGATGTGAAAGTTCAGGACCTAAATCTAAATTTCATTCTAATTCTTCAGGAAGGTTACTTTATCTTTCTTTCAGTTTTCTTTTTTTAAAACTATCTTAACTTTCTTATAGGAATATTTAGTGTAAATGACAGCAAAACAGTATGCTACTGAAATACAAATGTGTTTATATCTCATTTTTATGTTGGGTAGCTTTCTCTGATTTGAGTTTTTCTATAAGTAAATGTTAAATATTTTAAATATCTTTTAAGTTTCCCATCATTGTGGCTTTAAAGCACATTCTAAAGAAGACTAGTTAATTAGCTCAATTAACCCTTAGGAATTTTTCCTGTAATTTTAAGTACAGTAACTGGTGAGACTTTTTAAGGGGTTGCTGAGCAATTACAGTGATTTGGACATGAAATTATTGGATGTAGAAAACTAATTTCCATACTCATAGGAGTTCATAATAATCTTTATTATTTATTACAAATCAGATTATTTTAATTCACTTTCAAATGTCATGTAGTGTCAAAGAGAACAAAGATCTAAAATAGTTTGTCTTTAACAAAGATAAAATTATTGATGTATAAAGCTTTAGAAATTTTACGGATGTCCCTTTCTACTCATATTGTATCTGATAGTGACTTGACAAAAGAAAATAGCCGCATTATAGCTATACAGGTAATTTTACAAAATACGCTTATTTCCCAGTTCATAATGTCAACAGTTGAGAGAAAAGTTTGTTTTCCTTACTGACTTCTCTGTGTCCAAATTAAATGAATTTTCTCTGATTTTATTAAGAAACCTTTCCTCTTATGATCTAGAAACATCAAGTGATGTCCCAGCAATTATGTCATCTCTATGGAAGAAGTTAGACCATACACTTTCTCAGATCAGGTAATAAAAAGCTTATGTAATAAGTTTTTCAGAATGTATGTGATGATTTTGGAATGAAAACACTTAAAAGAATCACTTAATGTTTAAATCTTCTTATGATCCACATAGTGCATTTATATAACACTGATCTAATTTTAAAATTAGAGGTTATTCATATTTCTTTGTTTTTGATTAGAATAATGTGAAATAAATTTCATAACATTAATAGACTGTTTAGAAATGAGGAAATTAGACTTACAGAAATTGAATGACGCTCCCAAGTTCCCAGAGCAATTTAGTGACAGATCTCTGGCAAATCTAATCCCAGCCTGTGTGAATTACACTTACATCTTCATTACTTAGGTGGAGAATTCATGTGTTGAATCCGTGCTTCTGTTGGTTCCTCCCTTGTAAAGAAACAAACTTGAATAATATTTTGAAATCTACATTTAGGATTTTCCCATGTTACCAATATCCACCTTCCTCTGGCTCATGGCCTTGGAATGCCAGTTTCAGCATCCTTGGATGCTAGCCCTACTGGTATCGGTTATAACATCTCTTATTTAACTGTAAAGTGATATGAAATTCAGTTTCTTACCCTTTCTACCAGAGCTACAAGTGGATACTCCATTTAAATTCAGCAGACGCCTCATTTCCTTCCTCAGTTTAAACTGCTAAAAAGGGCTCCAAATGCTTTCCATCTAATTTTGTATCACATTTTATTTTGTAGTCTTACCTTTATTTCCTTTTTCTGGCTCTTGTCTTTATTCCCCTTTCAAATAATCTTCAAAGACAGTCAAAATTTAATTAAATATAAGTTATTGAGGTAGTTTATTGACAGTATTATATAAAAAGAAAAGGATCTTAGTTAATTGCCAGGGTTGGTTTGTGTATTATTAAAAATGCTTATTCAGTTCAGTGAGTTTTGTGGCTCTTGTTGATAGAAACTTATTTGACACATTTCCTAAGTCAGTGGCACAGTATCTGTGATTGTTTATCAAATACATGGGTAATTCTAATTCATAGTTAAAAGATAATCAATCATCTTGCATTGTGAATTTTCTTATATATTTGCTTTTTTCCTTCATTAGAGGTTGTATAAAATAATTTCATAGTCATAAATTTGATAAAAGCAGGCTGTCCTTTGATCACCTTGAAATTCTGACATACTTATATTTGGAGTCATATGTGAAATCAAAATTTCGTTAAGAAGGCATCTCTATAGTGACAGTAGATAATTGATAACTGTAAAATTTATGTATTGCTTTCTTAAATACATAGAGTTCCTGAAGTCAAGTCAAGTTGGATTCTTAATGGGATATCAAGGCTCTCTAAGGCATATTGCATTGGAAAGAAATTTGGTTATTAAAATTTTGTGTGTTGAGTATGTTTACATGCCACTGTTTTTCCCCTAAAGCAGATAGAATTTGGTTACCATACCCCAAAAAATACACTTGTCTTTGTTTTATGATAGAGATCTATTGACTTTTAACTCATGATTTATTTCAGATCTGATTATAACTTTAAAAAGTATATCTGGACAACAGAAATTTTTAAATTTCTAACTATTTTGTTTTATTTTTAGGAGCATGCAAAGTTCCCCAGGGTTTGCTGCCAATCAGAGAGGTTGGTATTCAGCTTTAAACTCTTAAGTAGTGTTGAGAATTACTTCAAACTCAAATTATCAGATGAACATTTTAATTAACAACATATGTATTAAGCATATATTTTGTTTAAATTACTGTTTTTCCAAGTTCAGTTATCATACTAGGAAATAAAATTTTCATTTATTGTAAAAATACACATTTTAAATGCTCCCTATTTTTCTCATTGGCTCTCATATCTTCGTGTCTTTTAATTCTCATTCCATAAGTTGGTTTCTTAATTTGTGGAGGTGTTAACAGTATGAAATATTATAGAGAAGTGTACTCTTAGATTTATGAAGTTTGAATATACTCATTTTGGTTTGATTCTTAATGAAATTATCACTTAAACTTAGTTGATATTTTTAAGCGCTGACTTTTCAGTCCATTAATCTAGCATGTTAATTAGTAAGACATATATAATGTGTAGACTCCTTAAAATTCCCAAATTACTCTGACATTTAGTTTATTATTTTAAATGCTCATGTGTTTCAGCCCGAACAAGAAGTGGAATTGCAGAAATCAAACGGCAGAGGAAACTTGCATCTCAAGCAGCTCCCATCATTTCAGACTTGCTAACTGTGCCGTATCTTTCAGGACAGTTTACTACTTCTCCTTTGACAGCTACACAAGCTATTCGGCCAACTGGCCAAATTTCAACTACTTTAAAGTCAAATTTTGTCATTGTCAACCATTCACAGTCACAAGACACTATAACCAGTAAGTTTAAAGTTTATTCTCGTAAATTTTGTTTTTAATCAAATTGTATAAATGAGATGACACACTAAGATCTTTATACTCAGTATAAAATTATAGCAGAAAAAAGGACAAGAGAGTCTAGAAGTAGAATAGACTTTTGGAAGATTTGCCATGAAATAAGCATATTATTAAATCTATGAGACACTTTAAGGATTATTATTTCTATTCAAACTAAAGTCCAACCTTGAACTCTCTTCTCATTCTCAGTTTTCTGCATCAGTAGAAAGGTGGCTGCTATTTGTTTTACAAAGGAATATACACAATGGAGTATTATTCAGTCATGAAAAAAATCCTGCCATTTGCAACAACGTGGATGAATCTAATGGATATCATACTAGTGAAATAAGCCAGGCAGAGAAAAACAAATACCGTATGATTTCAGTTATTTGTGGAATACAAAAACAAAGCAAAACAGAAGGAACAATATAGCAGTAGACTCATAGACACTGAGAAGTCACTAGTGGCTACTAAGTAGGAGGGTATAGGATGGGATGGGGAAAGGGGATAAAGGGACACAATAATTTGCACTCACAATATAAGCTGGTCACGGGGACAGTAGTAGAGCATGGAGAATATAGTCAATTATTCCATAACATCTTTCTACATTGATAGGTAGTAACTGCAATAGAGGGGGTGAGGATTTAATAATTTAGTAATATGGGTAACTTGAACCACTGTGTTATATATTTGAAACCAATATATGATTGTATATCACCAATACTTCAAGTAAAAACAAAAAAAAGGAATATACGTTAAATTTTATCACCTCATCTTTGCTCAAGCCAATCTGTCCTGAAATAAGGAATGTTTTTCCATTTTACCTCTATCTCTACATGTTGAAAATTCTTCATATTCCTAGCTGAATCTTAGAGTTAGGAATAAACTTAAAGATTATCTGGTACATCTTGCTTGTTGTATATTTGAAACTATTGGAACGTGGTATTAAGGGGCAAAAGTCTAGTTAATAATGAAATTGGGATTACAATTCAGGTGCCGGCTCTCTCATTTCCTAGACCAGTCTCCTTTCTCTTCTGTGCAGCAAAAATGTATTACCATCCATTGTTTTCCCTGACTTCATCTTTTCTCCAGCCTCTCTACACTTTGGGTAAAAACACTTAGTAATATATATACTATAGTATACATTTAGTTTATACTTCTTACAGTTCTTTCATTCTGCCATGTTATTTTTTTGTTGAGACTATATTGTACTTTGTAGTTTATTGTAAAACCTTCCGTCACAGGGACTATATTTTATTCATCTTAGTATCATCCACAGTGCCTTGCACATAGTAGGCATTCAGTATATGCTAACTAAATTTAGTATGATTATTATGTGATGATACTTGTTCCATTAATTTAAGCTTGGAAAACTAATTTCTTTATTGTCTTGTTTCCTTGAAATACAGCTGGAGAGGTTTTAAATACCATTCCTGGTCCTCAGGAAAGGAAAACTCATGCCAGTTTAATGTCTCCTGGTAGACGCAAAAGGTAAATACTTTTTAAAAGGGTAAGTTTTCAATAACCTTTTTAAAAAGAGGAATTATACCAGGATATTTACATTTTGAATAATAAAAGAATGGACTAAGTTCTTAGAACTGTCTGCTATCATCTCCATTCCAAACCTTTTTTTTTTTTCACATTCTACTCCCAGAAATCAGATTGCATCTTACTCTAATCAATGTCATATCACATAATCAATCCAGTATTTCATTGGAAACATTTTTTTCTGTAGTGAATGTTTTAAAACTCATGTTATCTCAGGGTTCTTTTAATAACAGGTTTTATAAACAAATATAAATAATGCCAGCATGTTTTAAGGTCCACAAACATATTTAAAGGCCTAAACCAACTGATAGTCAGAAATCCTTGCAAGGAGTCTCTGAGAAAAGACTTTCTGTCCTCCTTAGCCTGTGTATCTTTGAGGACATTCCAGGAAAGAGAAATAATTTGTTTTAAAATGTTTTTTTCTGATTTAACTGCTATGCCATGGGTATTTTGGTTTGTTTTCACTGTTGATTGTCTCTCATTCAAGGCTGGCCTCAGTCTCCTCTATAAGGTTTCTCACTTAACCATATAAAATAGTAAAACAACTATAGTAATATACAGTATTTCTAGGAACCTTGACCTATTTAGAAAGTCTTTATTACATGTATTTATTTCATTCAGCATAAACCCAATAATGCATTTGGTCTTATCCTGTTACAAAGTTGGGTCAGACTTTACCTTGCTACTTGCTACTTGCTACAGACCACACAGCTACTAAGTGGTAAAAAACTAGACCTCAGATTGATTACTTCTTAATTCAAGTTTAATAATGCTCTTCTACTCTGTTGCCTTTTGTTCCTACCACAGAGAAGATACTTGTTCTACCATGATCTTAAGATTCATGTGTTTGTAATTATCATTGAATCCATTATTCATACCAGTTAAAAGATAAGCTTTTAAAATTTGTTTCAGTGAATCTCAAAGAAAGGGTATCACTTTGTCTGGGCCTCATTCAACAGTACGAAATTTCCAAGATCCAAATGCATTTGCAGTAGAAAAAGTAAGTGACCTTACCAAACTTTGTAACTTGGAATATTCCTAAGTTTTAAAATACTGATATGTATACAAATGTGTCTGTATAGTATGCAAAACAGTATTTCTAAGAGACTGTATGACCTTGGGATGGATGGTAGTGAAGTTCAGCAACAGGAGACAGTCCGTTCAGGGGCAGAAAGCATGTCCGGGTGCATCAGGTAAGAAGCAATGGCATGTTTAGGAAACTAAATACATTATTGTTGCTGGATTATGCAGAATAATGGAGTGTTTTATTAAAGCAGGTTATTAAAAACCTTGTATGGAAAGCTAGAGTTTGGAACTGTGTTCTGTAATCAGTGATGAAACAGTTGGTGAAGGGTCTGAAAACACTTGCAAATTGTAAAGTGAGGTATTCAGGTGTTAATATGGTGGGAGCCACCATAACTTCTGAGTTTCCACATAGAGTTATAGAGTTATTAAAACTATCCAAATCCCATTAGTTGGAAGCTCTATCCTATTCTTTTGCTAATACTGACTTTCTTTTCCAGCAAATGGTTATCGAAAATGCACGAGAAAAAATACTGAGCAACAAGTCTCTTCAAGAAAAGCTTGCAGAAAACATTAATAAATTTTTAACTAGGTAAGCTTTGTGTGTTTAAGATATAGCCTAATTGTTTTTGCCTAATTGAGAACTATGCAAAAATTTTCCTTTCTGTATTACAGCGACAACACTATTGCTCAAGTACCTAAGCAAACAGAGAGCAACCCTACTGAACCAGAGACTTCATTTGATGAACTCCTGGGACTTCAGGTATGGGTAAGGGTGACTCTGTGTGGAGTACATATACTCACAATTAAAACTGATGGTATTTTTGTTTCATTTCAAAGCCATTGCCAACAGATTAGATGTTTAAAATGATTAAAAACAATTTAAGGTACACATTTCTTTCACTATCTGAATGTTATCTGTTCTTGAAAACATGTTAATGAATTTTCAAGTAGTCCATCTAAATTAGATTATCTAAATGGTAAAAATAATAGGACATTCCTAACCCATCTAATAACTAATCAACTCTTGGGTTTATCAGTAAAATACTTCATTTTATCTACATAGCAGGCAGTCATGGATATCTAAGTATTTAATACTTAAAGATTCACTAATGGGTGTATTTGTATGTAATAAGCAACAACACTGTATATGTATACATAAGTTGCATTTCCTACACTGCTACAAACTGTATGACTGAAGAAACAATGAAATATATGTTAAAGATACATAATGAATTCAAGTAAAATAAACAACGTTTTTTTAAAAAGGTTACTAATTAAATGAATAATTGTCTGTGTGAGACTGCTAAGAGAAGGAAGGTAGAAACCATAGTCATTCTTGCAAATCACTGATAGTGAAGATGAAAGAGGGTAAGCTGGTCAAAGAAGAATTTAATAGGATACATTTTAAGATTTGTTCATGTACATCTTTTTTAACAGCAGCTGAGACTGACTATAGCATTTCCCATTACTTGGACTCTCAGATAGTGTAATCATTTTTTTGTTGTCCTATGTACAAAGCGAATTCACTACAGCAGGTTTTCTTCTGGATGAGTTCTGGTAAAACCACTAATTTTTTTTCTTTTTTTGTCTGTTCCTTCAGCATACTTAAAAAAAATTTTTTTTAAGTATTTTCCTAAGGTGAAATTCAGTAAATTTAGCAAAATATGACAAGCTTTTTAAAGCAACCTTTATAAATTATTGCCAATACTTCTTTAGAAAGTCTCTCCTATCTTAATGTTTAACACATTTTCTTGTATTTTATCCACAAACATACCAGGTACATACCATAATTAAGACACTCTGTTAGATACTTGGAGAGATTATAAGGAAGCAAAGACACAACCTCTACTCTTGGTTAATAGCAATGTATATTCGGGAAAAGTTTAAAATTCATATTTAAATAACTTTAAAGAACAGTAAGCCCTAATGCCCAACTGAGTACTGTATATACCAGCATTACTAAGAAGTGAACAACCAGTTATACAAATAAGTAATTAGGAATTTTTAAAAATACTTACAAGTCTGTTACCTTCTGGTAGGCAAGATTTCCTACATTACCCAAATCACTTAACCGCAATTTTAAAAATCACTTAACTGCAATTTTAAAAATATGTTTCCTTGAAATTAAAATACCTGCTTGTTAAAAGCATCATTAAAGAGAATTAAAAAGTAAGCTACCAACCTGGAAAAAATATTCATAATACATATATCTGGCAAAGAATTTGTTTCCAAAGTATATGAAGAGCTGCCACAGGTCAATGGTAAAAAAAGAAACCATCCATTTAAAAAAATGAGTGAAAGGAACAGACAAAAGAAGATATAGGAATGGCCGATAAACCCATGAAAAGATACTCAACATTATTTGTCATTTGGGAAATTAAAGTTTAATATTACAGTGAGATAGCATTTCATACTAGAGTTACTAAAATACAAAAAGCAGACACCACCATGTTAGTGAGGATGTGAAACAACTCAAACTCTGAAAAATTGCTGGTAGTGTAAAAGAGTACCACCAGTTTGGGTACCTGATAGTTTTTTACAAAGTTACATATAAAATTATACACCTATCTTCTGACCTGACAATTAGTAGGTTTTTACCTAAAAGAAGTAAATATGGTCACATAAGTTTACAAAAAGACTTACATAAGAATGTTCATAACAAACAGCTCTGCTCATTCATGGTAGACAGACACTGAAAACAAGCTAAATGTCTATGAACAGAAAAAGGGATGAACAAATTTTGACCTAGTCATAAAATAAAAAACTGAACAGTAAAAATGAATGAGCTACCACTATCATAACAATATGGATGAATCTTAAAAAGTATGGTGATCAAAGAAGATAGACACAAGAATGCATATTGAATGATTCCATTAATATAAAATTCTAAAACAGGCAACATTAATTTATACTGATTGAAAATCAGAAAGTGTTAACTGAGTGAAGAGCAAAGAGAGTGATTGCCATGGGGAGAAATTCTGTAGAATGGGGAATGGTATGTAGGTGGGTATGGAAATGTATTATATTTTTATTTTGGTTAGGATGGTGGCTACACATTCCTTACAACTTTCAAACTTCATTGAACTGTGGACTTAAGATCTGTGCATTTTATTGTAGATAAATTACATCTTGAGTTTAAAAAATATTTACAGGTCGATTTGCAGTTACCTTTAGAATGTATTTCTGGACTTCTAATTTTTAAAGTTTAGAGTAAAAATGAGAAATGTTCTAGAAATACGTGTTTCTTCAACAATAACTTTATAAGAGGGTATAGTTTGACCAACATTGGATTCCTGACTCTTAACATTACTTACATTATTGTAAATTTTCAAGTTCATGGATATAGAAATATTTTTCAAGCTCCTAGCATTCTCCAAAGTCACATTTCTTCAAGAATTACTGATGTTTTCTGTACATCCTCATAATTAAAGTTAACTGACTTTAACTTCAAACAACTTCTTCTTTTCATTTTATGGATGAAATGGCTATTTCATTAAATAGTTATTTAATTTAAAATGGCTATTTTTATTAAAAATAAAGTTTTTATCATTTCATTAGTGTACACTTTACCCCTTCTCCACATGAATTTCCTATCCCACGAGATTCAAGTGTATTCATTACCAGTACTGAAGAATACAGCATTGTGGAATGATTTATAGAGAACTGCAATTGAGAATTTTAAATCTCCAACTGTTTTAGGATAAAAGTAAATGAATACCCATAGCAAGAGTATACTGAAACATCTTTTGAAATGTAATATTTCAGCTAAAACCATCAGTTTTGCTTTTTATTCTACTGCATGTTACTTTTGGTTTTCTGATTTTTAAAACTATCTCTTAAATCTTCATGTAAAATTGATGCAACTGGAAAATACACCATTTTTATCTAGCTGCTTGCACACTTTCTGGCATACTATTCCAGCCTTTCACTCAGAATCTGTCATACCCCAGTGTAAAAAATCAGTTTAATCTGTTTTCAGAGATTATAAGAAACAAGATGATGGAGGTGGTGATGCTGCACTCCAACAGCCTTTGTAAGTGTGAGAAATCACAGCTGACCACTAATGGCTAGAGGCACCATTTACTCCAACGTTGCATACCAACTTTGAATGAGTTATTTTAAAGTGTGTTCATTTTCATTGCATTTAAGTCATATTGGTCTCCAAAAAAAGTTTAAATGGCCATTAAACATGGAAATATATTAAATTCAATAATAAAGAAATATAAATTAAGATAAACAGAATACTTTTTTATTAAGCTGATAATACTTAAAATCTTACATTGCCTATTATTGTTAAGACCTATATTGTTACACAAGCAGAATGGGCATTTTTATACAAGTGCTCTGGGAGGCTGCTTGGCAGTAGTTTTCAAATTTTTAAATATATTTGTGTGTGTGTGTGTATGTATGTATGTATATATATATATATATCTCCTTTGGCCTTGTAATTCCACTGATAAGAATTTATGCCAAGAAATGAACAGATGCCTGGGTTAGGATTTTCATTATGTATTATTTACTGTAACAAAATTAAAATTAAAGTGTCCAACAATGGAAATTGATTAAATAGTGGCATAGTTAATACAAACAAAAATGTCTGTTAAAAAGGGATTCCTTTCCTTTAAAAAGATAGCAAATTAAACAGTTAGTTTTGGGCCCTATTTCCAAAACAATGGTATAGGGAGTTTTTGAAAGCATATACACAAGGACAAAGAAAAGAGGACAGAACAGAAAAAAAAACCTTTGGAAGTTGAAATGGACGTGTGGTATCTGACTTAGCAGACCCAAGGTTTGAAGCCAGGAAAAGCAAACTCAAAGACCACATTACAGCACAGAAATCCAAAAGGCTCCAACGAGTGTCTGTGAAAGTAAATGTAAGGATAGGGCTATAAACAGCATGTTAAGGTATAAAATTTGCTTAAACTCTATCTTCTCCCCATTCCAGTGTTCCACAGAAACTCTCCCAGCAAGAAATCTAACTCAAAAGAAAAAAAGTACAAATGGTTCTGTAAGATTATTTCACAGTTCAGCTGTAGTTGACAAGCTCGCCCCGTTAGCAGAGTTTGCAGGTAGCTTTTGACATGCTATTTAAATACAAGCAGACAAGCAAGGATTGTCTAGCATTTAAAGAAAGGATTTAATCTGAAGAGAATAAAGCAGACAGATGAAAGGGACAAGATAGACTTCTTTTGGAAGACCTAACAAGCAGTGTACAGTAATGTGAAAAAAACAGATTAAAGGATACCATAGAATCATACTCATAGAAAGAGAGGTAAGATTTGTAGTTAACCCGAGGTGGGGGCTGAAGTGTGGGGGATTTAGATGAAAGTGATCAAAAGGTACAAACTTTTTTCCAGATAAAAGATAGTATCTGGGATATAATGTACCACATGATGACTAGTTAACATTGTATAGTATATTTGGTAAAGTTAAGATGAGTGGATCCTAAGAGCTCCCAAAAAAAAGCTAAACTTTTTTTTGTATCTATATGAGATGATGAATGTTAGCTTACTGTGAGAGTCATTTCACAGTATAATGTAAGTTAAGTTATTCTTTACCTTAAACTTAAACAGTGCTGTATGTCAAGTAAAAAAAACAACATAATATGATTTTATTTATGTATATGTACATACATAGTACCTGTGTTCTTTTATTTTTAATGCTTGGGTAATATATTCAAAGTGATTAAGTCTAAGAAGTGGAATTAGGGGCATTCACTTTATATATATTTCCTAGTGTTGTTTTAAATGGCCTAGTGTTATACCCAGCAGAAATTTCCAAAGAGGGGAATATGTATTACATAAAAAGTCAAAGATACCAAAGTCCTCTGATTATTTTGCTGCTATTAAACTATAGTAATTCAGTTAGAATCTTTTTTTTTTTTGCAGAGTGAAATCCACATGTCTGAAGAAGCAATACAGGATATATTGGAGCAGACAGAATCAGATCCAGCATTTCAGGCTCTCTTTGACCTCTTTGATTATGGTAAATAGACATTCCTTGAAGGAGTTAACGTTTCTCCTGTTTCTTTGGCAGTTTAATCAAAATGAAGCAACATTCCTCAGAGCATCTGAAAAAAGTTTTTATTTGCATTAAAGCAAACATACGGATATGAAAGGATTTTTTTTTTTTTGGTTTGATTTTGTTTCTTTTTAAAGAAACTTTAGCTGTAAAATGAAGAGCAGTTTTGTTTTTGTTTGCCAATAAACACAAATGTGTTGAGGTCATCTACTATATATACATTATACTACACACAATTGGTAATACAAAGGAATGGAAAAATTGGCCATTGCCCTCAATCTTCTGGCCTAGTACAGCAGTTCTCCAAGTAGTCTCCAAGCCAGCAATATCAACATTATCTGAGAACATGTTAAGAATGCAAATCCTTAGACCCAGGTGATTCTGATATTGGATAGTTTAAGAACTACTGGTCTGGTGGACAATCTTTGTGCGTGTTAGTGATATACAAGGCAACGTGTTCAAAAACATCCAAAGACTCTAGTTAAAACCAAAGTTTAACTAACACTTGCTTAATCACTGTCAAGCTGTTTTAATTGATGCTTATTTTCATTTTGGACATTTAACTAATTACTTCTTTGTTCCCTTTTTAATAGGTAAAACAAAGAATAATAAAAATGTATCACAAGGCATTTCTAATCAGCATATGGAAACCAATCCCAGTGTAGTCTTAGCAGATGAAACTAATCTAGCAGCTAAAAGTTCTTTCGAAACAGAAGAATCTGGTAAGAATCTGATTTTGTTATATCATCAATCCAAATCCTAATATCAGTCTCATAGTTTCAAAGGTAGGATTATATTGTTTAATTTGGAATTTGTTCCAGTTGCCCCATTGGTCATGTTTCTATTTCTAGTTTTCTATCTTAGAAAAAAAATTGCTCTGAAGCATTTAGTACTTTGGTTAAAAGATGAATTTTTAGTACTCATTCTTACATGATGCAATACATTCTTAACATGCACAATTTGATTACTAATAATGTTGACCAATTTTACAAAAGTCTTAAATATTTAACAATTTTTTAAGGCACTAATTTGAATCCCTAATAAATTAGAATGGTGCATAGTATTAATCACTCTACCTAAGTAAGGCAAGTTTAGCTGACTGCTCAGCATCTACATCTCATTTGTTTAGAGGAAATTATATACTATAGTGTTAATCTTAATCACTATTTTTTGAGGTTTGGGCATATTCCTATGTGCCTACATTAGTTCTTTACATTTCCCCCTCTTCCATTGGAATGCCAAGATAGCACATAAATGGCCCACAGTAACTACTTATTGAATGAGGGAAGGCAGTGAATATGTCCACATTAGATCTTTTGAATATTTGCCATTTTTAAATCTTATTTTTGTAAAATATAACATGTACAAAAGTGCACAGTAGTAGTATATATTGTTCATTGAATCACCATCAGTCAGATACTCATAACCATCTTTCAAGTCTAAAAGTAAAACACCAGCACCACAAAAACCTGTCTTCATATCCCCAATCCCTATTACCCTCTATCTCTGTTCCTTAGAGATAACCATTATCCTGGCATCTCACACTTCTTGCCACTTGATACCTCTTTAGTACCACCTTTATCCATTCTGTCTACCACAAGCTATGCCAAAACATCTTTTTTTGTTTGTCTGTTCTTAAATGCCATTATTCCTCCAAACCTCTAAAAAAACTTAATGGCTTCCAAGTTTTACATCATGTCTTCTAAAAACTAGTTTTTTAATATCCTACTACATTCCTACTTTGAGTCTTCTGCCTACACCCAAGTCCAATTCTCCATTTATCCTTAGGCTGAGTTGCAGTGGGGTGTATGTCTTACTATATCTTATGTGTGGAAGATTGTGCTTCAGTAAATCTCCAACCTTCACAAAATGAAACTTGAAATCTTTTCTCAGAAAGTCTTCCCGCTTAATTGAAACTCACTACCCCTGAATTTATGTGGCCTGTGTGTGATTTCCACCGACGTGTCTACAATGGGGACTTAAATGTGCTCTATACCAAATACTATTTTACCAGTGTCACATTCACAGAATTACATGATAGTTGATATACATTTTTCTGAAATTTTCCCTATATTTTCATGTTGTTCATTGTTTTCTGTCCTAAACTGAAGGCTGTATGACCACAATATTATCAGCTACTGTGTTATTTTCTTAAATAACCTTTCTTCTTATTCCAATATAACAGTTCATTTACTTTTTGAGATCTCCATATAATACCCCTTTATAACACTTTTCCACATCTCCTAGGCAAAAAGGTACCTTCTGTTCCTATGCTATTATAGTTTTTACTGTGTTTTATTATGACTTTCTGTGCTATATCTGCTTCCCTTACCAGACTGGTCTCTCCAACGGCTAAGACTTGGCCATTTCTCTTTGTATCCTAGTATCAGTGATATGGTCGGTCTTCAGTAAATGCGCTGAACGTTCCAAACACCACATGATATCATCACATGTTGATCACGTAAAATGTACTTGGCACCATTTCACTTTAGGAATATACCAGATAAAAATAAGTTCAATAGAAATGGCAGAAATTGAAGGCAACTGTTTTGAAGAAAACTGCTGCATGCTTGGAGCCAGTTTTTTTACATATGGGTAAATATTAGATGTTCTTAAACCTGTGTTCTTTCTCCTCCATTGCATCAACTCTTTTCCAGGAAGGTTAAGAAACAATTAGACTTGTTTAAAGAGGCCTCATAATAAGTACCTTTAAGTTTTTAATACTCAGAAAATGGGAGATACAGTTTAACAGACTTAATACTTATTAATATGTCAAAGATTGGTGATTTCCTTGGCAAAATAGGTTTTTCAGTGAAGATGACTACCTCGGAAGCTATATATACTCATCATATCTTTCTGCCATCCTGCTGTTTTGCAGATAACCAGTCTGGTCAGCCCCCATTTTGTACATCCTACCAAAATGAAGACACAGCAGATGCTTTGAGGAATGGCAGCAACCACGATGAGCTGAGACAGGAAGCCCATGGACATTTTTCCCAGATAGGCTCCAGCATTCAGAAAAAGTCCTTTAAAACAGTTGCACCTACTGAACAGAAGTGTAACCTTGATATTACCTTTGAGTCTGTGCCTCATTTGAATGACTTTAACCAAAGAGTAAATTCTAATGGTGAATGTAATCAACATTGTGCTGAATTATACAACAGTCAGATGTCCACTGAAACTGAAATGGCTATGGAAGCTGAAAATAATTCTTTGTCTCCAAATGTGCCATGTGAATCTCAATTACATCCTAATCAGTCTGATATGCCAATAACTTCGTTTGTTTCCTTTGGTGGTGAAACTAACGATGAAAACTTAATTTTCGCTGAGAAATGTTCTCAACTTTTATCCCAAAATATTCCATTAACAGGAAAGCCATCTAAAGAAAGTGAGTTCTGTGCAAGTTCTAACAATACAGAAAGACTTAAAACTAATTTCCATAATTCTAAGTCACCCGATTCTAGAGAAATTCACCAGAGTAAAACTGAAATTAATGATGTATTACCAGTTTCATCACAACAACTTCCAGATGTCCAAGATAATTCTTCACTTCAAAATAAAATATTACCTGTGACTGTTGAAAGTTCAAGTTTAAATGTATCTGAACGACAAGTAGAAATTCATCTTGGAGACTCAATAGCTTCAATTAAACAACCATCTAATGATTCATCATCTGTTGAGTTAAATCATCCAGAACAGGGAACTCAGCCCTCCAAGTCTGAGAAAGTTGCTTTGGATTCACAAGAGCCTTCATCTTCTGTAAAAGAAGATGGAGATAGTATTTTCCTCTCTTTAGGTGAAAATGGGAACTGTGGGGAAGTTGCACTGGTGCCTCCAGAAGGTAATCTGATAGAAGACAGGCCTTCTCTTCCTTCAGAATCTGTGTGTTCTTCAATGAGAGATTTTCAGCCCGAGTCCCAGAATACTAGCGATAAGTCTGCTTTGGACAACTCAACGGAGATAGATGTTTCAAATATTGTCTCTCTCAAAATTATCATCAGTGATGATCCATTTGTTTCCTCAGATACTGAACTCAACAATGCTGTTTCATGTATCAGTGGAGAAAACTTGCCAACTGTAATTTTGTCTTCTCCTGCTAAATCACCTGCCGGAAATGTAGAATTAGTTCAGTGCTTGTCTTCAGAAGAAACTGCGAGTGCTGTCCTATCTGCTGAAGGAGCAGGGGATTCAGTCTCCGTACAGCAGAGCCTTTTAGCATTCAACCCTGAAGACACTGTGGTAAAGAACATTCAGAATGAAGACAGCATTGCTTTTTCAGCCAGTCTTACTCCATGTGTTTCCAAGGATGGAGGATACATACAGTTGATGCCAGCTACAAGCACAACTTTTGGCAATTCTAATAACATTCTGATAGCTACCTGTGTGACTGATCCAACAGCCTTGGGAACAGCTGTGAGTCAATCTAATGTTGTGGTGTTGCCTGGAAATTCTGCACCCATGAGTGCTCAACCTCCTCAACCTCAGTTACAAACGCCACCAAGGTCAAACAGTGTATTTACTGTCAGCCAAGCTGTGTCACCCAACTTTTCACAAGGTAACTTTAAGAAGTTCATTTCTTTGTGGTGAGAGCTAATGTCTTGTGTGTGCAATTACTGACTTGTTCAGAGAATGAGAAAGGATCCTGAAATTTGTGATTATGCCCCTTTATTCTCACTAGTTAATTCAGTCAAACTTTTTTAAATTTACTGGTAAGCTATGGAATTCAGTGGTTAGTTTTTTACTTTTTTCTCTCCAGAATTAAATTCCAATCCATGTGTTAAGCTACAAGAAAGGGAGAGAAGAGAAAGCTAATTTGTCAAACAGCTACATACCTACTAAAACCCAATGTGGGAGACTTTTTTTAAATAGCTATTATAGTCTTAGTTTTCAAGAAATCTGTTTAGAGAGACTTTCAAAGCACAACTTGAAATTCTCCCTCCATAAAGCCCTTCGTACCTTCTCACTGTCTTCCACCTTCCAGAATTGATTGATCCCTAACTTTAGAATTCCTTGTTTATCACATTTGTGGCATTTATTCTATGCCATTTTATATGTACTTAGTGGTTGACATGCCTGTCCTTTTGGTCATTTGTGATTGTATGTTCCTTGAGGACATAGTTTATGACTCATTCATAAGTTACGTATTAGTTCCCCAGTTCCTTTCCCCTCTTTTTTATATTTTAGGCAACAATAAAATGATTAAAATCAGCAATTAAGTATTAAACATGATGGATCTATTTCAAGTGCTGTTAACAATAAGATAAAGGAGGGTCAGAACTGATAATGTGGGACTTGAGCTGAAGCTTGGAAAAGCAAGGTAGTATTTGGAGTAAAAAAAGGTAGGTAGTCTTAAGCAGCACAGTGTAGGTAGGTAGTTGAGAAACTGAAGCGGGTATTCATGAAAGTGAAATCAACCTAACAGAAACAGTGAATGTAGTAGGAAAAGACACATTTACAGGTCAGGACTAAATTATGATAGCCACAGACTAATTTGGTTGTGTATTTATCTTGACCCTTTTTTGACCAGTACCATTGAGATAATATGTGGGAGTTGTGAGCAAGTCTTGGGCTGTTGATATTCAATTGGTATCTTAATTTTCTGGTATAAGATTCACACTTGAAACCTTCACAATCAATTTTCTAATCAGTCTTCACTATTCTTTCTAGAGAAATTAAAATATAGCTGTAAAAAAAATATATGCCTACATATATATATATATATATATAAAACTAATATGATCTCTTACACTTATTCATAATACTTACATGACCAAGTGCTGTAAGACTTCTTTAATGATCAGGTTGACTTTTTCTTACTTTGTTAGCTTTCCTGTTGTTCCTAAATTAGTTTTTTAAAAAGGAAAGTAAATTGTAAAAGAGATTATAATTTTGTACAATTTATTTCAAATGAATGAATAATTACTTTAGTGTCATGTTTCTAAAAGAAAATCTGTTAAAATTCCTTTTTTTTTAGGATCTGCCATCATAATTGCTTCACCAGTCCAGCCTGTGCTCCAGGGCGTGGTGGGAATGATCCCTGTATCTGTGGTTGGACAGAATGGAAATACCTTTCCTGCTCCTCCTCATCAGGTAAGATTTATGAACTGAACATGGCACAGCGACACTTTTCAAACGTAATCAATGGTTTCTTCTCTTCTAGGCCCTCCATATGCCTTTGGCAGCACCTGTATGCAACAAGAGTACCCCTCAATTCCCCATCCCTCCAAAATCTCAGAAGACTCAGGGACTAAGGAACAAGCCTTGTACAGGTACATTTTCAAGTTCATTAATGTCAGCTTTATGTCTCTGTATTCATTTGTTTACAGCAACACCACAGTATTTTGTTTTTGAATACCTATACCTATTCCTAATAGGTAATTGTCCAACTTTGGCTTAAAATTTTTTGCAGTAATGAAAACGAAAGCAAATGGGACAAAACAAAATTTAGAAAGGAGAAACTATCTATTTATGGCAACTTGTATGTGATGGTGGTAATATCAGAAATCAGAGGGGATAGGATGGATTCTCTAATAAGTGAAATTTATCAGCTATTATATATATTATAAGAAAAAGTTAAGTTTCTTCCTCATACCATCTACAAAGGTAAATTTCAAGATGATTAAATTCCTAAAAGTGAAAAACAAAGGAGTTAAACAAAAAAAATGTAAGAGAATATGTTAATGACATTGGGATAAAAGGATTGCTTTTACAAGTGAAAGAAAGAATTTATAAATGGAAAAATTGATAGCACTGACTATTCCACAATTAAAGATCTGTCCAACAATAAACAACATAGACAAAGTGACACCAGAGTTTCATTCAGGGCCTTGATGAATGTTGCACCTAGTTCTCAGACTTCTCTACCTCAAACTTCCCCATCTTCGTATGTGACAAAACGCCCATGTCACTAACCTACCCAAAACTCTGATCCTTCTAGGGTGACTCCTTCCACTTCTAAGCCTTTAATCTTTGCTTCAGGCAACCTCTCACATATCTTCTTCACCTTTAATTTTTTACTACTTATTAGACCTACACAATTTGTAAAGGCCAGTAACCACTCCAAAAAATTTTTTTCTTTTTTTTTTTTTTTTAACAAGCAAAGAGTGGTTTAATAAAGCAAAGTATGCACTTAGGGAGGGAGTGCAGGCATGCTGCAGAGGTGAGCAACCCAGTTGAGTTCAGGTTGGGTAGTCTTATAGCTGGAGTTAAGCAGGGATGGAATATCATTGGGTTAGGTGGGTTTTTCTCAGAATAGGGAGGGGATTTCTGGGAAATAAGGTGACACCCTCTTTTTGTCCTTCAATGGTCATCCTTAGAACAGTCATGATGCCAAGGGGTGCCTCTCATTTTAATATATACATTAAATCTCTCTTGAACCAATGAGAGCTCGTGTTATTTGACTCCTCACCTTTACCTGAACTTTCAGTTCCTTTCTGACCTCAGTTCCTTCTCTGTCCAAGCTAGACCCCACAGTCCACATCAACCCCCTTTCCTTGTGCACTTAAGCACCTTTATGTCCACATTCTTCTACCATACCTACTTGCCGTCCTCTAGCTGTGGATCGGTCCAGCCACCCACCTCTGCCTTTGATCCAGGCTCCTTTGGCATTGGTTTAGAAGTGGTGCCATTCAATACCACTTAAAGATATCTCACCCTCACTGCCCCTTACAATCATATTAAATGTCCACCTATCTTCTGTCTCTCCCTTTCCCTCTTCAGACTATTACAGACTTTCACAGCCCTTCTCGAATCATCACCCTTCTCCCTCTAGGCCAGTGACTTTTATGTCCCAACTCATCAGTAGTAAACTCCATTTTCTTTCATGACTTGTATTTAATATGTACCTCTTCACCTTCTAAAATCATTCTTCCCTTTTCCTTTCTTTCTTGGAAGAATAACTAATCTCATTCTTCTAAGCTTAATGCATTCTTCCTATGCTCTAATTTCTATCTTTTATATATCTTGAACTTTTCTATTTTGGCTCCTTGCCTTTCTTGCTATAAAGTTGCTTAGGTTTGTCCCCCATGCCAATCCTTCATCCCAGCCCCTCTTATCTTCTTCCACTTCTCTGTCATCCACCTTAGTGTCTTTTATCATGTTCCCACTAAAACTGTTTAAAATAAGCTAATGTTGTCATATGCAATGGACATTCTGCAGTCTTACATTACATTACTTCCTTCTAACAGTTGATACTATTGGCTTCTGGAACCACCATTCCTTTCCACTTCCCTTTCTAACTTTATGTAACTAAAGACCTTCAAGTTCTATGTACCTAAATCCCATGTCTTATAAACCTCCTCCGCCTACTTTTTTCTCCCGTGGTTAATGCCACCACTGATGCCTTCTTATCTTTCATATCCATTTGAATGCACATTACTCTCTCTAAAACCATCATCATCTCTTACCTGGAACATTTAGACCTATCTAACTAGAATTCCTGTTTCCAGTTTTTCTTCTCTAGTCCATCTTCTCTACTACTGCCAGTGTCTTCCTAAAACATAAATCCATTCACACATGTTCCCTATTTAAAACTTTTAAGGCTTCTCTTAAAACCTATTGCATAATACATGTCTTTCATGATCTCATCTTTGCTTTCCTTTCTAGGTTCATATCTTGCTGCTCTACTACATAAACGCTTAAGTCCATAGAAATTAAAAATGGCTATTAAAACTCCAGAGCAGGTGCTCTGAGTGACAGACTTGCAAACGTGACAGTTAAATGGGCAAAATATATTGCTTTCTTTAGCTTTCTGGATCTATGTAGTACCTTTAGGTGCTATATTGATTTGAGCATTGTAACTTTTAGATGCAAAGATTAAATTCATAATATTTGCCTGAAGTTGAAGCAAGTCATTTGTGCTGTATCTATATTTCCTCTGTAAAATAGTTGACTGTCTTATACATATTACAAAGCTGCTTTTTAAGCCATTTCATTTGTACCTAGTTATCATTCAGATTTTTTTCTCATAATGTGTGATACTGCAATCTTTTCCATTTTATTTGAGAGGAAATATTCTTTCAGTAATGTTTTTCTTTTCTAATTAATTCATGTATAATTCCAGGAAAGCAGGCAAATAATTTGGTGGGTTCATCAAATCACTTAGCAGGATGTCATGCACAAAGGTAAGCATTAAAGTAGTTTCTGTTGTAGATTTGAATGCTCAAATTAAAAGCAGGATTTCTTCATGTTGCTAATTCTTTTTTTTTTTTCCTTTTTTAAAATTAGAAGTGAAGTTTCTGACAATACTATGACCACAGACCTTGGGAAAAAATTGGAAGAAATTACAGTTCCCTTCTCAGTAGAGAGTATAGTTCCAAGTAGCAAACCATTTGAAAGCTATAGACGTGTACTGTGTTTTGACAGCACCGCTTCTCCTGTGGCAGACACACGTGAGACAAATCATAAGACAGTGGCCCAAAACAGTGAAAGATCATTTCCTGATCTTGACTCATCCATTGTGTCCTCCACTTTAAAACCCCCTTCTAATACTCTGAAAAGAGAGAGAGAGAAACCTCCTATGCCTAAGATTTTATCTAAATCAGAAACTGCTATTAGCCGACATGCCACCATAAAAGAAACACAGTCAGAAAAGAAAGTTTCACCAACAGAAATTGTGCTTGACTCTTTCTATAAAGCAGCTAATAAGGAAAATGAATTATGCAGCGATGTGGAAAAACAGAAAAATCCAGAGACTTCAAAACTGTCTAATGGGCAACAAAATGGGGGTTTATGGAATGAGAAAGCTATAACTTCACTGCAAGAAGTAACTAAAAAACAAGGCACATCCTCAAGCAGTAAAAATGTCATTTCAGTAGGTACAGCTGTAAAGGATCTAAAACAAGAACAAACAAAGTCTGCCAGTTCTTCAATTAACCCACTAACCAAACATACCACAGAAATGCTGCAGGATGTTCAGTGGCATGCCCCAGCAGATAAGCTCACTGATACTACTGATTTACCTGTATCCCGGATACCTGGCTCAGGGGTGGGGGAAAAACATAAAGAAGAACCTACTGATAGTATCAAGGTCCCCTCTAGTAGGCGCATCAGTGATGACAGTAGCACAGCCAAAGTAATGGTTCCTCCTGCTACCCCAGACTTGCCTGCCTGCAGCCCTGCCAGTGAAACAGGGAGTGAAAACAGTGTGAACATGGCTGCCCATACGTTAATGATTCTCTCCAGAGCAGCCATTTCTAGGACTACTTCAACAACTCCTCTAAAAGACAATACACAGCAATTTAGAACATCTTCAAGGAGCACCACAAAAAAGCGGAAAATTGAGGAATTAGATGAGTGTGAACGAACCTCCCGTACTTCTAACAAAAGTCTTGCAAATTCACCAATACCAATGAAAAAGAAAAAAATAAAGGCAAGTTTCAAAGTTATTTTCAAAACCACACCTTTGCCCTTTCACTGCACAGATTAGACATCTTAGAATTTTTTTTCCACAGCTACCTAATTGAATGCTTTGGTCAGGAGAGCTTTGAGTTTTCATTGACAAGTACATTCTGTAGCAGTGTCTCTCAGCCAGTGGTGTGTAGGTGAAACATAGCTTTTTCAAAATAATTGTTAAGGCATTTATTTGGAAACAACTTCCTGGGAAAAAGAGGTTTCTGTTTCTCATGGTAGGGCCTGAGGTTTTTGGGGAGAATGACATACAGCATGAAAGGTTGGGAAGCCACTATTGTGTGTGGAATTAACAAATGAAAAACTGCTTTGCAGCCCCTACAACTTGGGTTTTTTTCACATGCCCTGCCATCTCTTAAAGATGTTAATATGTTGGAGCAGTGTAAAAAATGCACCTGTTTTGCTTTAATCATGATTATCTGTAGGAAGGTAGTACAGGGATAGCATTGATAAATGAAACCCATTTAGTAAGTGGATTGAATTGAAAAGAACGGTATTTACATTGTGTTAAAGGAAGTGTGGTATCAGGGAAATAGTCTTTGCTTTGATGCCATGCAAACCTGGGTTTGAATCCTGAATCTGCTCAGTGGTTCTGTGACTGTGGTTTAAGCCCATACCTCTCTGAGTCTCAGCTGCATCATTTGACATGAGGCGAACACACATCTTACTTGATGGCTGTGAAGGCTGATGCCATGTTTGTAAAGTGCCTGGGGTATATTAAATCTTCAGAACTTGAGAAGAACCTGTTACTTTTAATATTTTAGTAAAGCTTTCAAGGTTTTTTGGTTTGTCAATAATGACCACCTTACAGAAAGCATGTTCTGTCTTGTCTCATTCAACATTTGTACACTCTGGATTTATATGTCTTTTGCCCTAAATTAATGCTGAAGTGCCATTGAAGTATATTAACCTTGGCTTTTTAAAATTTATCTATACTTTTCTATATAAGTAAAATCCTAATGAACTAAAAAAATTTTGCAAAACTTTTAGAAGTGTATGGAAGAACCTGATACATTGTCCTAAGTCACTTAATACGAAAGTCTTTTGACCTTGTTTGAGTTCAATATGTTAACCTAGGTTTATTTCCTTTTTTTTTTTTTTTTTGACAGAAAAAGAAGCTACCCAGTTCATTTCCAGCTGGAATGGATGTGGACAAATTTTTGTTATCATTGCATTATGATGAGTAAACCTTCTGAATGGTATATAATAAGAACAGTATCTGTTTAAAACTCATATCCCTTAAACTGTGAGTATAGGGAATGAGATATTGACAAAATCTGAAAGCATGACCTGCACTTTCATGTTACTGCAATTTCACTTTATATCTAAATAATGCTGTTTTATAGCAGCTTCCTAGTTTGTAAATAGATTTATCTGGTATATTTTTATTTGGGGAAAAACATTTGCAGAAATGTAAGTAAAGCCAATCTGCAGAACTGTATAGCTTTGACAATTGCATATTGTAAATACTGTGTAAATCTTGTTGAAATACAGGTTAAATCAGCCTAATGTTCTTAAATTGTGTTTTTTGAATTCTTATGATTTAATAATTCTTACAATTGTAATTCTGAGGCTTACTCATCTGGAATAGTTTCTCGCTTTTGAGGGAAATGATGCTTTTCCTTATAAATTGCCCTTGGTGACTGTCCAACAAGACTTAAACACATAGCCGCTAAGTAGTACAAAAGTGATAACCACCTCAAACTGGTAGTAATCAGAAATTAACAATTTGGGTGTTTTTCTAGAGTGAATATTTACCATCCCTATCTATAATTGCAGTAAAGATTATATTCCTGAAATTTTACACTCTAACTGTTCTGGTCTTTGTTTTAAAGAGAATTTTGTAAACCATTTGAGTGTTCTGATCCTTTGTATCTTTCAAAATCTTGTACAGAACTTTTAAGTAAGTGTTTAGACTGTTGAGCCATAAGAAGTTGGTTATGTAGTAGTTGAGATTTCCTGGTATGCATATACTTTTCCCCTAAGTACTGGGGATTTAAAGAATTGCACTAATTCATAGAACTTCTTACATAGTAGTGACCAGTGTATGTTTTATTTAAGTCTTGTATTATATGTTAAAGTTTGTGTGGGTGAATATCTTCTGGTGTTCTTTTGGAAAGCCATGTCCATCATAAGATGTAAAAAGAGAAATCATAGTTTTATATTTTAATTTCGTTTTTCCTAAAATGGGCTGTGTTAAATAACTGTAACTATATCTATATTTAGATATAGTGCATTGTCTCTGTGCCCCTTAAAATGTTACAAAGAATTACTCTCAGAAAGTCCTTAAGGAGAGTGAAAGAGGTGCCTTCTCTGTATTAGACTCACACACATAAGTCAAGGTGAAGATTTGGCTTAAATCTTTAAACGACAACAGAAATTATAATTAGTACCTGACCAGTTGTGCCTATTAAAGTATATTCTCTTAAGTGCTTGCTTTTTGGTTAAATGCCAGTATTATTAAGGTTTTTTCTGTAGGTTGTATATATTGTTAAAGAGTCATTTTCCTCAACCATTTTTTTTACAATACTGGGCCATTAAAAAAAAAATCTATCCTACTGTGGAAATCATGTTAATTGCTGTGCTGCAGAAATTTGTGTTTTAAGAAATTTTTATGATGTGGCAGTGGTCTATTCCTAAGGAACTAAATATCACACAGTTAATGTTTATTTAACTCAACTGTACTACAGTTAGATTTGAATAAATATTTTCATTAACTTCAAAAGTTTGAATTAATTTATATTGGCATTCATTCTCTTTTTAGATAATTTTATTAAATTCCTTTGTAAGTCAGTTCTTGCTTTTTTTGGGAAGTTCACATAATGCTGAAAATTGCAGATTTTCCTCTCATTCAGTTAATATACATTTATATGTGCTAAGTACTAAGAATTCATATATAAATTAAATAAGCTCACTTTCTTCAAGATTCTTACTTCTCTAGCCAGGACCCACTAAATATAGTCCAAAACAGCTTCTACTTGGACTTGCTGTTATATTCAAGAGCAAGGCCAAAATCCCCATTTTAACCTTAAAATTCCAGGTGTGCTGGACTTAACTGTAGTGTTGTGCCTGGTAGTCTGTTTCAGCAGTCAAATGCCCAGTGACTGCATTTCAGGGTTAAAGTATACCGCAAGCAACTTGTGGCTACTTTTATAACTACATGTGAGGACCCACTGTATTTTGGGCATTACTTACTGGTTAATTTAGTCAGTGTATGCCAAATCTAAGAAATACTGCAATTAAAATATTTGATTATGTTAGCCCTGGATATTGTTAGAACCCTTTAGTAAGTTAAAATTGCATCCATCAACATCCAGCCAAAGACTACAAGTCATCATTACTTGGGAGACCACAATTGAAGCTTCGATAAGGAATTATTTCAAACATATGTTACTATATATTCTGCATTCATTTCTCAAGCCACCATCATTCAGACTCAGTCCCAACTTCTTTAAATTATATAGCAAATTCTGACTACAGCTGGGCTTCCTCTTTTAATAGGCTTTTCTTTTAATAAATGTTGGTTAATATTTTGGCATACTTTACTAGTTTTTTTCCTAAATTATTTTTTCTCCATACTTAAACTATAACTATAAATATAACTTCCTAATGCTTTTTTCAATTCAAGTAGTATCAAGCATTTTGAGTTTTTAGCTATTAAAAAATCGAGGAGTGACATTTGTAAAGAAATACCAATTTTTTTTTCAAGTAACATTTTTTTTTAAGTATCATTGATACACAAAATCTTATGAAGGTTTCACATGAACATGTGGTTTTAACATTCACCCATATTATCAAGCCCTTGCCCCCACCACTACCATTGTAGTCACTGTCTATCAGCATAATATGGTGCTATAGTCATTGTCTTCTCCATGCTGTACTGCCTTCCCTGTGACCTACCTATATTGTGATTGTGAATTATAGTGCCAATTAATCCCCTTCTCTCACTCCAACCCTTCCTTGGTAACCACTACTCCCTTCTCAGTGTCTGTGAGTCTGCTGCTTCCACATCTATTGAGATGCTTATGTGATTTTTGTCCTTTTTGTTGATGTACGTAAGTGAATGATGTTGATGGATTTTTTAATATTCTACCATCCTTGCCTCCCTGGATAAATCACATTTGGTCATGTTGAATGATCTCTTTGATGTATTTTTGAATTTGGTTTGCTAATATTTTGTTGAGGATTTTTGCATCTGTTCATCAGTGATATTGGTCTATAATTTTCTTTTTTTTGTATTGTCTTTCCTGGTTTTGCTATTAGAGTGATGCTGGTCTCATAGAGTGAGTTTGGAGGGATTCCCTCCTCTTCTACTTCTTCGAAAACTTTAAGGAGGGTGGGTATTAGCTCTTTGTTATAATGTTTGGTAAAATGCAGTGGTGAAGCCATCTGGTCCAGGGGTTTTGTTCTTAGGTAGTTTTTTGATTACCAGTTCAATTTCATTACTGGTAATTGGTCTATTCAGATTTTCTGTTTCTTCCTGAGTCTGTCTTAGAAAGTTGTATTTTTCTAGAAAGTTTTCCATTTCTTATAGATTATCCCATTTGTTGTCAAATAATTTTTCTTAGTATTCTCTAATAATCCTTTATTCTTCTCAATTTATTTCTGTTCTGATCTTTATTATGTCCCTCCTTCTACTGACATTGAGTTTCTGTTTTTCTTTTTCCAATTTCTTTAATTGTAATTTTTAGACTGTTTATTTGGGATTGTTCTTGTTTCTTGAGATAAACCTGTATTGCTATGTACTTTCCTCTGAAAACTGCCTTTGCCACTTCTGACAGATTTTGGGCTGTTGTGTTTTTGTTTTCATTTGTCTCTGAATGAGAACAAATTGTCTCTTACTTTTCTGTCTGGTTGATCTGTCCTTTGGAGTGAGTGGTGTGTTCAAGTCTCCTAAAATGGATGAATTGAGTTCTATTTTTCCCCTTTAATTCTGTTAGTATTTGTTTTACATAATTAGGTGCTTCTGTGTTGGGTGCATTGGTATTTATAATGGTTATATCCTCTTGTTGGACTGACCCCTTATCATTATGTAATGTCCTTCTTTGTTTCTTGTTACTTTCTTTGTTTTGAATTCTATTTTGTCTGACACATGTACTGCAACTCCTGCTTTTCTCTCCCTATTATTTGCACAAAATATCTTTCCATCCCTTGATTTCTAGTCTGTGTATGTTTGGATTCGAAGTAAGTCTCTTGTAGGCAGCATATAGATGGGTCTTGTTTTTTTACTCATTCTGTAACTCAGTCTTTTGATTAGTGCATCCAGTCCATTTACATTTAGGGTGATTATCAATAGGTATGTACTTATTGCCATTGCAGGCTTTAGATTTGTGGTTACCAAAGGTTTAAAGATAGCTTCCTTACTATCTAACAGTCTATATTAAATTGCTTGTTACTCTTCCAGACACAATCTAGAAGTCCTTTTTTTTATTCCTCCCCTTCTCCTTCCTACTGCACTCTTTGTATATTAGGTGTCATGTTCTGTACTCTTTGTGTATCCCTTTACTTAACTTTGTGAGTAGTTGATTTTTGTATTTGCTTAGTAATTAATTGGTCTACTTCCTTTACTGCAGTTTTATTTTCTCTTGTGACAGCTAATTAGCCTTAGGAGCACTTCCATCTATGTCAGTCCCTTTAAGAGATCTTGTAGAAATCGTTTGGTGATGATGAAATTGTTTAACTCCTGCTTCAGATTTAAATGATGATCTTGCTGGGTAGAGTATTCTTGGTTTGAGGCCCTTCTGTTTCATTGCATTAAATACATCATGCCACTCCCTTCTGGCCTGGAAGGTTTGTGCTGAGAAACCTGTTAATAGCCTGATGGGCTTTCCTTTGTAAGTGATCTTTTTTTCTTTGGCTGCTTTCAGTACTTTCTCCTTATCCTTGATTGTTGCCATTTTAATTATTATATGTCTTGGTGTTGTCTTCCTAGGGCTCCTTTTGTTGGGTGATCTTTGTGCTTCCATGACCTGAGTCATGACCAGATGGGGGAAGTTTTCAACAATTATTTCCTCAAAGAAACTTTCTCTCCCTTGTCTCTCTCTCCTTCTTCTGGTACCCCTATAATTCATTTGAATTGGTCACACAGCTCTCTTTTTATTCTTTCATTCCTGCAGATCCTTTTTTCTCTCTGTGCCTCAGCTTCTTTGAATTCCTGTTCTCTAATTTATATTTCATTTACCGTCTCCTCTACTTCATCTAATCTACCTTTAAATCCCTCCATCGTTTGATTCATTTCAGATGCTATATTCTTAAACTCTGAATGGCTTTTTTTGATGATTTCTATCTCTTTTTTGAGGTCCTCCCTGAGATCTTGAATCCTTTTTTGTAATCTGTGAGCATGTTTATGACTTTTATTTTGAAAGCTTTATTGAGAAGATTGGTGATTTAAGCTTTATTGAGAAGATTGGTGATTTCAGTTTCACCAAGCCCTCTTTCTGGTGTTTTTTTCTAGATTTTTTTTTGTTTGGACCAAAGTCCTCTGTCTCTTAATTTTTTTAGTGTTTCTTTTGGGACAATAGATTTGTGTAGGAGACACCGTCTAGTGTCCAGAAGCTCAATTTCCAGTGCGGGAGTGCCATTTGTTGGCATGCAGTGGGTTTGGTACCTGTCTGCCTTGCTTGTAGTGTTCTGATTTCAAGTGGGCTGTGTGGGCCCTCAACTGTCAAAGGAGCAGGGAGAGTACTTTCTGAGGCTGTGGTGGATGGAGTCGCCCTCCATTCTGCCTGGCACAGTGGCCTGGGCTGCAGAAAAGTGGGACCACCGCCTGCGTGGAGGAAAGAGCTCTTGGGGTTGGGCTGCTCATGCAGGGCAGCAGTGCTGGAGCTGACGTGGGCAGAGCTGCCCTCCTCCTGCAGGGGCCACTGCCAGCAGGACCCGTGTCTTTTGGAAAGAAAGAGCTCCCAGGGATGGCTTTTGCACACAGCTCTCTGGCTGGCCCAAAATAGGGTTGAGCAGGCTGGGGATTCTCTCCCCGCCTACGTGGGAGTAAAGTCTGATTTCACTGCCGGCTGGCGGGCCATGTTCCACTCTGAGGGGTCTCTGGGCTGTGTTGCCAGAGAAGGGAATGGAGCATCTGAAGCTCCTGAGGGCTCCCAACCTGTTGGGCTGAGCGTGGCCTGGAGAGGTGTTATCCACCTGACCTTTCTAAGCAGCACTGTGCAGTCCTTGCCTCTCCGGCGCCCTTCTCACTGCCGGAAGTCTTTCAAGTTTCCCGCTCTGCTTTCTTTCTCACGGGGGCCGGCAGGGCGTGCTTGTTCGCTACAGGTGGCTACGATCTCAGCCACTCCCAATTTTCTGCCCATCTCTGTTGCCCAGCCCCACCAGCATCAGGGTGCCATGCGATGTGGGCTTGTGCTCCAGGAACAGATCTCCAGGGCCAGGCACCCTGAGATCTTGGGCTTCTGTGGGCCTGGGCAGGGGAAGGGCTTGGGTTCTTCCAGATCAGGGCTCTGCCTCTTCACCCTTTTCTGTAGGGTCTTCTCTTCCCCAGGTGTAGGTGGTCAGTTCCGCCATCTTTGGGTTGATTTCAGGCCTAGTTAGTTGTATTTGCTGTGTTTCTGTGTTCAGTGTGATTTTGGGAGGAGGTTTTTGCCTTGCCCTCCTAGACTGCCCTCTTTTTGTCCCCAGCCTCATGTAACTTCATCAGTTATTTTCTTAGCAGACATTTTAGAAAATAGAATTACCAAGTGGAGATGTTGGAACATTTTTTTAAGGCTCTCACTA